TTTTACTTCCGTTATTATTGTTTTTTTATGAAGAAAAAAAACATTGGCACTACTGATTTTGAAATAATAAGTAATGTAGCATGTCAAACCCTTTTTTGTTTTATCTTATTATTTTTTGTATTCAATATAAATTTTTATGTACTTTTGCAGGGAAAAGGTAGAGATCTGAGTCCATGAAAGAAAGAGAAAGTGGAGGCTTTGTTAAAATTGGGGATTGTGACACAGAGGGAAATCAGTAAATAATTAGGCCTAATTCAAAAGGCACTCTAAACTGTAAAGCAGAGGCTAGAATTAAGAGGCCTGGCTAATTTCAAAACATTCCACATCTGAGAGAAAATTTTCACACATGCCAAAAGAACAAAATTTCAAAAAAGTTTCTGTGAGCTGTTTTGTTGTCACCTCATCCAGGCTGGCTACATTATTTTTTAATGAAGTAAAACACTTCTAAATATAATTGTTGCTTATAGAGTTATTAAATTTAAAATGAATAGACAATCAGTACATTGTTTTATTATCCTTGGGCAATTGATTATGATGCAAATGACCATTTTACTAGCTGTCTTTTCTCTTTTGGGCTAAATTCATGACTTTTGTCTTCTTTTTTATTTATATTTGTGTTTTAGATTGTCTTTAGTGATAAATCAACATTTTAAGTCCTTGATAACTAGTGGCAGAATGTTCGACGTTGCTCTGATTAGAAACACATCCAAATTCCTGGTAAAAACTGTGAAGCATCCAACATCAGTAATGGCGTGGTCTTTAATCTCAGTTCATGGTGTTAAAAGGCTGTATGAAGTGGAGGGTACAATAAAACAGCAACGTGTACTTTATGTTAAATTTGTGTTCTGAATTCTAATCTGCACGTTATATTTTTATTTTCAGGTGTTACTGTTGTTAAATTAATATTGAACTTATGTTAAACTAAAATTGAATTATTGAACTTTTCAAGTAATAAACTGTCAACTAAACTATAAAATAGCAGTTCCAGTTCTGGCAAATCCAGTTTGAGATTCACCTCTAAGCACTAGGTTATTGGAAAGCCAATTTTTAAGTTATCTACAGAAAGATTACCATGTATGCTGGATGTACTTTATTTGCTCCAGTTTCATTATTTAAGTAAAAAAGAGAACTCTTCCTGAAAGTCTTGTGATGCATTAATTTGTACTTGGATGAAATCCAGGATACCAAATAGCTAGTTGATGTGTCAGAAAACTGTCAACAGAACTATCTGGCTTTAAAGGTACACAGAACACGGCAATGCAAAAGTGACAGGATGAAAGAAGACAAGTTTAAAAGTAATCTTGAAGAACTGTTTGGTATTGCAACATTGGATGTGATAGCAGAAATATAGAACAAATAAGATTAGTATTTTTAATTTTTTTTCTTGCCTCATGAGTGGAGCAGATGTAAACTCAGCAGCAAAAAAAAAAAAAAGCAAGAAAAAACGATGAGAGGAACAAGAGAGAAAGAAAAAAAAAAGAGAAAAAAAAAAGTGATATAAACAGGAATTATCTTTTTCCGGATATTTCCGGAATTCCGGATATTTTTTTCTATTTTTAGTTTTTCCGGATATCCAAAATATTTTCAATACATGCAAGATGAGGTATATATTTTTGTAATATATTTATTTTTTAAGCTTTTTCACTCATCACTTAAAAAAAATTATGAAAAGTAACAAAAAAATATTAAAAACAATTTCACTAAAAGCGAAATTAAAAAGAAAATAAGGAAAAACAAATTCCAGATTTTTTCTGGATGTTTTTTCCAAACCATTTTCCGGATTTTTAAAATATGACTAGGATAATCTATGTATAAAGAACGCTCGACCAAATGGCATAAACCAAACAGAAGGTGAACTTTCTTTGTTGACATCTAATTCAGAATCACAAGAAGATGAGGAGTATCAGCCAACTCAGCCATGTATGCCAACAGTGTCAACATCAACAATAAACAGATTCAACAGCTTCTGCTTCATCACTAAAAAAAAAGTTTAAGAAAATCTTCCAGTTACCTAAAGTTGTAGTTGCTTTATATTGTGTTTACCTCCCAAACCGAAAACTGTGTTTATTGTCAGAGCGTTGTTGAAAGCACAGGTGCTTGGCTATGACATTTCAGATGTAACCTTATCTTAAAATTCAATTAGGTGATCCAGAATAAAAGAAAGACAACAGGCTGCTGCAGTGGATGAAAAAGGATTTTCTTTGGCAGGACCACTATTGCTTCATTGAGACTGCAAAATATTGTCTGATATTAATGGATTAAAGGAAAATGTGGATTTACCAGTAACAATAACATAGCTGTTATTGTTACTGGGAATGGCTAGGAAAGTTTGTAAGCTAATCGACCTCTGTCTTTGTTTACATTTACATTTACATTCAACTAGGAACATCAATTATGGAAAACTAAACGTACCTCTATATAAAACTTTTAGGTATGTAGTATTCAATTACACATCAGTGCATCAGCGAATGGAATCGAAGTCTTGTGTTATGAGTTTGAATATGAGTTTGAAAATTTAATATTTCCAAATAAATTAATTTTAATTTCTTTATTTAAAACAAAATAAATTTAAACATACTCTAGGAAAATTTTATTTTAATTTTTTATCAATATTAACTTTTTTTTCTTATTATTTCTATAGAAACTTTATTGTTTTTGTAATTAATATTTATTACTTTTAAGACTGATGTTTTTATTATTACTATTATTATTAGAACTATTATAAATACTATTATTTTTGCTGTTACTTTTGCACTACTTATGAATAAAGTTATTATTGTTATTATTTTTTTCAAATTAATATTATTAATATAATTATTTGGTCACTCTTTTGATCAGGATTCTGCATGAGTTACTCCTCCCTCAATCTATTAAATATATTTATTCTTAATAATTTTGATTCTATTATTTATAATATTATAGATATTCTTATTATTTTTATTATTATTGTTATTGTCAGGGTTGACATTAAAAACCCAATAAAACCCTGGAAAATCTGGGTTTTATTGGGTTTTTTTAAAGATATTTATCAAGTTAATGAACTATTATAACCAACTTTAACATTAGAACTATAATATTATTAACTAAAATAATTATTAATTATTATTATTAACTATATTATTATTAACTATTATTATTAACTACTATAACCAACAATAACAGCTATCAGAGCAGGTTTACTATTATTTGAATCATTATTTGGAAATACATTATTACAATTTTTATTCAAATATTTTTATCGATTGAGATTTTTATTACTTTATGTTATTCACCTCCCAAGTTGAATTTAAATGAGTATTAGTGACCAGAGAAGCCAACACAACAGTCGAGGAGGCTACCTTGTTGTGGTTACAATCCTCTCTCAACTCTTACGCGGTAGTGGTGTTGTCGTAGAGTGCTCGCTTCATAAGTGAGAGGTTCCGAGTTCGATCCCTACTACGTCCCTGGCAGTACTGCGCTTAACTCCTTTCTCCGCGCAGCGGCCTTGTTCGTCAAGGTTCGTGTTTCGGAGTTATAGAGTTGAGAGAGGGTTATAACCACAAATAAATAGCCTCCTCGCCTGTAGTGGCCTTAAACCTTAAGGAGGTGAAATGATTAAAAAAAAAAAAACTCTTTAACTCCTAAACACGAATCTTTATAAACAAGGCCGCTGCGCAGAGGAACAAGTTTGTTCTTTTGAATTTCAAATCAAAGTTTAATTGAAACTTCAGTTACTACCTCCCATTCTATAGCCTTCTTTTTCCCATTTTCTCCTTGACATTTTTAATTAAATAGAATAATACTTTTAAATTTAAAATAAATCAATACATATAGATTAAACGTGAAATTTTTTTTTTCTATTACAGTTTTAAATTATATTTAAAAATCTTTTTCAAAATAATTTGAAGAATTCTTGTTATAAATAATTAAACAACAATATATAAAATATGTTTTAAATAAAGTTAAAGTAGAAAATGAAACTAATTTTCAATATCTTTAAACAAAAACACAAAAAAAATTTTTACAGGGACAAAATAAAAACTAAACCCAAAAAAACCCAAATTTACCCAAAAAAACCCAATAAAACCCAAAAAAACCCACTGGGCCGGGTTTTTTTAAAAAAAACCGGGTTTTTGCCAACCCTGGTTATTGTTCTTGTTATTATTATTATTATTATTGTTACTATTGCTATTATTATTATTATTATTATTATTGTTATTGTTGCTATTATTATTATTATTATTTTTATTATTATTATTATTATTATTATTATTATTATTATTATTATTATTATTACTATTGTTATTATTAATATATTACTGTAATTATATGATTGTAAATTTTGAGGAAAATAAATATCTTTTTGTCGTTATTTTTGTTCTGATCCTAGTCAGTGCTCATTTTTTCATAGTTTTAGAGAGATCAAACCATGATCAAAAGCACCCTTTTCACCCTATCAACCCTAGGTGCTTTTGATCATGGTTTGATCTCTCAAAAACTATTCTCTTTATATATCTCATTCTTCATCATCAGAATCCCCCTACCATTGTACCTCTTACAACTACCACATAGCTGGCTAGGACTCTTTTTGTGATTTTCTTTGTGATGGCCCTTGGATGGAAATCTTTTGTCTTCCTGCTAACAAATGCGCTTTTTACATAACTTTGTGGATTCAGGTTGGCATGGAATCTTTTATTTCCTCTCGGTGATTCTAGGTCAAGCCTCACTCTTTTCCATGGTTTTCCTAACATTGTGCTGCTGCAATTTCTAATCAAAACCATTACTTCAATATCTTTTAGCAAAACAATTCTCCAGAAAACAGACGTCTTTTTACTATTGCTAGAAACCATTGTAAAAAGGTTTTGTCTTATGCCAAAGCTTGCTATTCTCAGGTCATATGTATATATATATATATATATATATATATATATATATATATATATATATATATATATATATATATATATATATATATATATATATATATATATATATATATATATATATATTTAATTAGGTTCTGCACTTGAAGAAAAAAAGAGAGTACTTGAATTTCCAGGGAGTCTTTATCACATTGATGCTAGTTCAGATGGACAAGTTGAATGCATAACTTGGACAACAACTGAGCAAATAATGCTCCTGCAAAAATTTCCAGATGTAATAATGATGGATGGCACTTATAAGGTAACTTATTTTCTTTTTCTTAATTTGTTTTTTCTCTCTTTTATTTTGCAAAATATAATGCATTGCTTTTTTATTAGGAACTGAATTTTTTTTATATATAATAATTATAATGTATAGGTAAATAATCTCTCAATGCCTCTATACACACTTGCTGTAGTAGATCAACACGGAATGGGGCGACCTGTAGAACAGTCAATAGTGTATCGTGAAGATCAAGCTCATCTCAGAATGTTTCTGATACGATCACAAGAATGGGCTGGTTTTAATACATTTTTAACTTCCATTTTTGTTATTGATAAGGCTCAAGCTGAAATCTCAGTGTTGCAGGCTATTTTCCCAGATAACCGTATTTTGCTTTGTCGATTTCATGTATCCAAAGCATTTGTACATAAAATAAAAAAAAGTAATTTAATAAGTAATGACAAAGAATCTTTATATAAGGTTAGTTCTAAATAATTCTAGCTAATTGTATTAAAAAAGTAGTCATCAAAAAATTAATAAAAATTAAAATAATGCTTTGAAAGTTGTCAACTTTTTTGACAATAGATGTTCCATGACAATAGTCGTGGAACATCTATGATTATTATGTGCGTTCTATTAATACAAGTAATGGTATTTGTAATATCATACATTTATTTTATTATTAATTGTTTTTTATTATTATTTACTTATCTTAACTGTCAGGCTACAAAAAGGTTATTATATGGTAACCAGCAAACATGTAATGAAGCTTTGTTAAATATACAAGAGACCTTTCCAGAGTTTTATACATACTTAACAAATAACTGGTTGATGATGGCTGACATGTTCATGGGCTACCGCAGAAAAGGTCTACTCCACATTGATAATCACACCAATAACAGATTGGAACGGTGTGATGATTTGTTTTCTATTTTGTTATAAGATTAATTGTTACTTAATAATATTTTAATAAACTTATAGGTATCACAGAACTTTAAAAGATGTTGGTTTGACATCGCGTATGTCACCAGGTAATCTTATTAGCAAAATAATAAAGGTAAATAGAGTTCAACTTGAAAAATCAAAACATGCTGATTTTGATCAACGTCTTAAAATAAATACTAAACTTCCTGAATGTTTAAAATTTTATGCTCATACAATCTCATCGTTCATTTTACAACATATGGTTGAACAGTATAATTTAAGTCAAAAGGAAGGATATAAAATAATATAATTTATTAAGCAAATTTAATGCTGATGTAATAATGTAGTATTTTTCTGTCAAGCATAATTTGCAAAATTTACCACCAAGTTTGAATGGCTCCGTTTGATCAAGAATATTTCATTTTAGTATAGGTTCTAATGCTTTATTTTTACATTTCCACACAAATTTCAAAAGTTCAATGGAGTTGGCCTTACTTTCATAAACAAAAGATTTTTTATGTTTATACCACCTGTCTTTAAAAGTGATATCAGCCCGATGCACAGTGCCTCACAGCTACGGAAAAATGGCAAAAACCCTCAAATCAGTGTTTCTGAATGGATTTCAACCTTTTTTGGCTCTAAATATATTAAAATTTAATCAGTAACCCAACCCGAAAGTCAGAAAATAATTTTGCACATTTTTTTCAAAATATTTTTGCAAATTTGCAAATTCTGAATTTTTTTCCACTTTCTCAACATGCTTTTCTGTCGTTTTTTATTGTACTTATAGAGACAAATTCATAAATATATATATAATTTATTTAAATAAAAAGTGACAAATTTTCAATGTTTTTAAACACTCTACATATAATCCTTTAATAACAGCCGATTTTGTCAGTAAACAGTGAAAACAATAAAGATTACATTATTCAGAAACAAATATCTACAATTTCTGTATGTTGTAACATATAGCATATATAACATGTAACAATATAATTTAGATTTAAACAAAAAAACTAAACTTAGTGTTTCAGCAAGTTAAGAACTTGTTCAGACAAGGGGTTTCCATTGGAAGATTTGTGTTTTATGAAGTTGATCGACGAAATTTCTGGATCAGTTCTGATCAGCAAATATTGAAATTGATTTTTCATTACATTTAGTCTGGAAATTTTGCATGAATGGTTTAACCTAGCATGTCTTATCACTTTATTTTGGGCCTCCTGAGCCTCCTCAGAATAATAACCAATGGGTAGTTCTAGACTTTCAGCAATTGCAGGTCCATGAACTAGAAGTTTGTGAAGAGTTGGAGGCATTCTGTACCAATCATAGTTATTAACTATAAAGGCTAGAGTCTCATTGCAGTATTGGCTAAATCTATCAATATCTAGGTCATACCCTGAACAAACAGCTTGAAGAACTGTCCTCACCCGGAGAATCAACTCAACCTGAACTCCTGTTATGTCAGCAAAAGCCTCACCATGCATGAATGCTCTTCGGGCAGTATTACCATCATTTGTATTCCCAAATCCAGTTTTTGGAACATCTACCAGTAAACTAAGTTCTACTCTAAACCTATCTTGAATAGTTTTTTTTCTAGCTTGAACAAGTACCTTATCTTCGGCTAACCTGACATCTGTCCTTGGAACAGTCATCTCCAGTCTGTAGCCTAAATGAAGTATGTATTCAAAACATTTATTCCAACAATGCAATGATGATAAACCAAGGGACACAGCATCATCATTCACAGGTTTAATTTTAACTAGATCTAGCTTGTTCATTTCTGATGGTTTCGCACCACAAATATTGCAGCTTGCAGATGATTTTGTGTTGGTTAAGGCATTAACCACTTTGCCATCAAACATGGTTAGTTCAACATGAGATTTTATATTGATACTGACTTTTCTTCCATCCGCAAGTGTAATAATCTCAACATAATCTTCCAAATCAGCCATCTGATCACGAATGTGTTTTTCTTCTGACTTGCTAAGTTCTGTGGTTTCTTTTTTGTATTGAAGACGAAGAGGTCTGCAAAAATGAGAACTATTTGGTTTCTTATTCTCCCAAATTGTTTTACTTTCTACACTTAACTTAAGAGGTACAATTGCAGTTTGGAAAAGGGATTCTTCATTTTTTTTAGCCTCCTCAATGTCTGTGTTATCATACCTTTGTTTATACAAACTTTGGCTTGATGCACCATCAAACCCTGCTTTTAGAATAAAACGACCATTGAGCACATTTTGATCTGGATCCAGAGTTTTTAAATTGTCTTCACTTAATACAATAACTTTTTTAAGAGTATGATTCACCATGGACTGTAATTTACTTTCAGCAGAAGTTTCAGTTACAACAAGGTCCTCTGGATAACAACTACTTTTTTCCTTGAATAGAGCATGTAATGTTGGATAAATATTGGCATTGTGTTTGATTGAGGAGTTTCTTATCATTTGATACTGATCATCACTGAGATCACAATTAACTTTTAATGAAAGTGCTTCTTTCTCACTCATCATTATTGGTTCCTTGCTGTCCATACTTTTTCTGATTTCAGATGCTTTCTGAATAGACTCTTTAACCACATAAGCAAAGTCTTGTAAGTCACCTGATGATTTTGCACTTTTAACAGCAGCCAGAGCTAAAACCTCTGGATCATGCGTAGATAATCCAACAACTCTTGTTCGCTTACTTCTCTCTCCTAGATCTTTCCAATCTTTCTTTGGTCGCCCTCCACTGAACTCTTTTCTGCTTACATTGTCAGCTTTCATAACAATTTGAATTTCGGTTTGCAACCATTTCTTTTCTTTCATTAACAGCCTGTCATATGTTTTGTTTACTTCAATCCACTTAGCTTTCAATTTTATCACCAAAATTCGGATTTTTTCTGTTAATTTTTCACTATGCACTTTTTCACCATTCAAACCTTCTGATATCAAAATTTCCTCATAAAGGAGGCTCACAATATCCTTGTTAGTTATACAAATTTCTCTTACTTTGGGAATCAAGTCTATTATTTTCATTTTGAGATGTAATCACAAAGGCACATATTACTAACTAATTTTTTGGATTTGTAAACAACTTTTTGCGGATTTCTTATTAATTGCAAAAAACTTTAAAATTCCATTTTTCAAAAACGTGCTACTTTGGGGCGGGTTTTTTTTTTCCGGGCATTCCTGTATATATTCAAGATACTTCCCCATCAAAATTCAGGGTGGACAAGTGTGGACATTTTTAGAAAAAGTAAATATTGTGAATATTATTTTCTGGAAATTTTTAATTTTTTCACAAATTGTGAAATTCGAACATTAATTTTTGGTGTTGATAAAAGTCCAATGTCAGTTACTTACCGGACGATATAATATATATATATATATATGATGTTCACCGAAAAAATGAAAGAAAAATTTTTAAAAATGACCATTTTGTGACAATTTTAAGATCTACTTGAAAACTTTAAAATTTCTAGTGAATTTTTGCCCACAAACAACCTGCATATAACAAGCTCACAAAAAGAGTAAAAATTTACAAAATCTTAAAAATTGGGTTTACCTTGTTCAGCACGGTCGTTTAAATGTGGAAAGTTATTATACGCAAGCGCAGTGTCAAATTCAAATATTATAATTTTAAAGATGGTGACGGCCTTTAGATACCAAAATTTTTTCTGAGTAGCAACAATATTTTTAAAGTTTTACTTAGTAGTTATTATTTGCATATTCTTGATAGAATGAAATAATAATAAAGATAATTGAATTGTTGATTCAAAAATGATAAAAATAATATAAAGATGTTTAAATATATAAAAAACTGTGATTCTCTGCTACATTTATCTGACTGTTAAAAGCGTGGTTTGTTTACATTTTCAAAACTGTTTTTCTAAAAATCTGAGCGATACAATTTAATAATTTTTCCTTTTTTATTTCGAATAGTCTTATCTTGATTTGAAATTGTTTACAGATCT